CATAAACATGAGTACTGGAGTCAGACAGCAGGGTCTGCATTCTGGCCATACCAGGTGACTGCTCATGGGAAAGGCATGGCCCCAGGCTCTGGAGAACACATGGTACAAGATTGAGCCAGGAAAATAGAAAAAGTCTGAATAGACCCATAACAAGCCAGGAGATTGAATCAGTAATAAATAACCTCCCTGGCCCTGATGGCTTCCCCTCTGAATTCCACAAAACTTTCAAAGAGTTAACCCCTATTCTGGTCAAGTTCTTTCTTTCTTTCTTTTTTTTTTTCTTGGAGAAGATTTTGCTATAGGGCATGTGTGCTCGCCAGAAAGACAGAGAGACAGAAGGCGAGATATCACCCCCCGGGGTGATGGCCATGCTACAATCCCTTCTCCTCCATTCTGCTTTTGGGATTTTGGACATGTTTGCTCATTTGTCCAGTGTTTTTCAAGCCACCAGGTCTAAGACTCAAACCGCATAGTCAGTGAGATTCAGCTGCCTAAACCACCATGCCACTGGCTAGCCCAGTGAAAGGGGGTTGTATTCTGAAATTTGCAGTTTAAAGTTGGAAAACCCTTGTCTTGGAGAAAGCCTAAGGAGAATCTTAGCCGTCAAAGATTGGCCTCAGCCACAAGTCTGATGGCAGTTTTTCTTTTTGGAGAGTTTTTTTTTTTTTGCTATAGGGCGTGTGCACTCGTCAGACAGACAGAGAGAGACACAGAGACAGAAAGTGAGAAATCACCCCCCAGGGAGGATGGTCACTCCGCAATCCCTTCTCCTCCATTCTCCTCTCGGGATCTTGGGCATGCACGCACACGCGCCCGGCGTGAGTTTTAAGCCACCGGGTCTGGGGCGCGAACCGCAGTCGACTGCGTGGGAGTCCAGTGACATAGCCATTACGCTAACTGCTGGTTCCCAAGTCTGATGGTAGTTTTGACATGCCAGCCAGGAAGGTGCTGGGGTCTGGGCAAGGAGAGGTCTGGGTCGGGGAGGGATGGGGACAAAGGTGGGTGCAAGTAGGATACATGTATAAAATGTGTATCTTTTACATATACATGAAATATATATCTTTCCTGAACTTAGTCATCCTTCACGCAGGGTCGCCTCTCTCCACTGCCCCCTCAATGCAGTCTCAGGTACACAGGAAGTGCTGGGGGGTGAGGGGGACTGAAATTCTTCAAGGGGAAATGCTGAACCCTTTTAAAGTAGTGATTTCCAAGAAAAGGAAAATCACATTCACTTCACATTGCCATTTACCAAGATGTGTGACTTGAAGCTGAAAGGTCTTTCCTTTTTTTTTTTTTTTTAAAATAATGCTTGTTTACTTATTTTTAAAGAATTATTTTATTTAACTTTATTTATTTATTTACTTACTTATTTTAATTTGACCAGAGAGGGACAGAGCAAGAGCGAGAGCATGTACGAGAAAGTGAGAAAGCAAGCTGCCAGGCCCAGGACTTGAACCGTGATTGGCCATGTGGGAGTCCAGCACCTTTAGCCACCTGCCACCTGCCGGCCCCTTCTTTTCTTTTCTTTTCTTTTCTTTTCTTTCTTTCTTTCTTTTTTTTTGAGAGAAACTTTTTCTACAGGTTATGTGTACTCACCATAGAGACAGAAAGCAAAACATCACCCCCTAAGGGTTGCAATCCCCTCTCCTTCATTGTCCTCTCAGGATTTTGGGCACACACACACACACGCGCGCACACACACACACGCCCAATGTGAGTTTCAAGTCACCAGGTCCAGTACTCGAACTGTGGTCAACTACATGTGAGTCCAGTGCCACTGTGCCGTCTGGTGGTCCTGAAAGATCTTTCTTATACCAGGAGTTTGAGTGAGTGGATTTCTAAATGGAAGAACTATTTCTAATTTAAATAGAAAGTCAGGTTCCAGTATTTGTTTTTAGAAGGTCTATTTTTCTCTACTGATTTTCTTATACAAGGAAAAGAATAAAGGCCTTGATATATAATATAATTAATATAATATAATCATATTAAAAATATCCATATATAAA